TAAGCTCCTCGTGAAGCCTCTTGCACTCTAGCTCGCTGTTGTTCACTCTCTTGGAAAGCTGTTCAATTCTAGTCAACAGCATACCATTTTCAGCCTTGAGCCGTTCCTGTTCTTTTGCACCGGTTTGAACAAGTAACGCCTTTTCCAGTTCCTCCTTCTCGGCCAATAACTTTTCAATCCGAGCCATGATTTTCTTGTTTTCTTCCATGACTTCAGTTTTCTTTTTCTCCATTTCAGCTTTCTTTTTGGAGAGTCTTTCTTTCTGCCTCTGCTGTTTTTCGTTGGTTTTCTTTAAGTTTCCAATTTCAAGCTCATTTTCTTTTATTTTCTTATCTTTTTCTTTTTTATCCTCGTCCCACTTCTTCTTATCTTCTTTGTGCTTGAGCTCGAGTTGGCTGATTTTGTTTTTAATTGTTTCTCTTTTTGTCTTAATGTCGTTAAGCTCCTTTTCCAAATCAGGACACCGCAAGCATGCTTGGCTTCCTATAAAAACACCAACACCCAGTGAAGATCAACGAGATATTAATGAGTCCTCGATTACATAAGTCTTGTTTACAGTAACGTGTGATCTGACCGGCTTCATCCAGATCGCTGGATGGTTGTATCTCCCCCTGTTTTCATTTATAGCCAGCTTGTGGGTTATGACCTATTTCAGCATCCATTTTATCCAATTAAATTCTCTAACTCGACTATTTTCCAGACCTTTTGTGACACTGCCATTCGATAGAAAAGTATATATACCGAAGACATGTATTAGCATGTATTAACGCGGGGTCAAACATTAAAAAGTCTGCTCAAAGAAGCCACTGAAGTTAAAGTATGTGCAATTTTATCTCTTGCAGACTATGATAAAAGTCACAAAACAAATGAAGACGAACTTGAAAACTAAAACAAAAATATCAAGCTTGTAGTGAAGGAAGCTGCGCAGTTCAAACTTACCTTCATACAAAAGTTGTATGGTCGCTCCTTCGTTCTTCTGCCTTTCCCCATATCTTTGTCCGGCGTCTTTCTGGCTTCGGTCAGCCATTCCACCCTTCTGTCTTGCACTTGAACGCCTCTCACTTGTTTCCTCCCATGCACTATTTTCGGGCTGTAATGATTTACCCGTGATTTCCTTCTGGTTTTCAGAGATCATTTTGATGTTTTCTTGCACAACCCGTAGACCCTCTTCCATCTGGTCGCAGATTTTTCCCAAGCGGGTCGTTTCTTGCATCAGAACCTCCTTATCGGCGGTTTTTTCAGTCGAAAGGTATGTTTCCAGCCTTTTAATTGTGGTTTCTAAGCCCTGGACCCTTGTTTCTATATGTTGTCGCTCATCCTCACCCTTTTCTGTTAGCATTTCTTGTAGGCTTTTGGTAAATTCTCTGAGTTCTTTGACTGTTGTGTCGTGTTTCTGTTTCTCATTCTGTAGGCCCGTCCTCAAAAGGTCAACTTCCCTTCGCAATTTCGAACTTTGTACTCGCGCACAGTGTAACCCAGCCTCCACTTTCTCTGTCTCTATAAATATCAAGGTAAAAAGGTTGCATTTGATTAAACCCCCAAAATAAATGTATAGGCACCTTCTCAACAAATTTATCGCTAGTATTAAAATGTTAAAGGTTTTTTGGGAAATAATTTTTTGTGAGGGCTCTGGACTAGAGAGGCTCTAATCGTAAACACGAACTGCAATGCTTTCGCCCCCCAAAAATTTTACATTGGCAAGCAAATGGACTGTAGAAGCGTTCGCTTTCAGTCAAAGCCTACCTTTATTGTATTCTTTTTAACCTTAAGTTTCTTGTATACTCAGATTATCCTTTCTTAACGAAACAAAATATGTTCAAAACTGCCTGAAATGCAAGCTGCAGTAGGCTATGAAACCTGATGGTATCGCTAAGAGGCTATCTGTTAGACTCTCCCTTCCAACTCAAGTTTTCATGAAGAACATGAATAGACATGTCAATGAATGAGTTCCCATAAAAACAAGAAATTACATACCAACGAGCCTTTGAGCGGCATTTCTCTTCCCTATTTTCTCCAGAGCATCTGTAAGATTTCCCAAAGTTGCTCCAGTCCCGTTTCTTTGTTTCCATCTGTCTAGCACTTGCCACGCCCTTTCTCGACATAAGGTGTAATCATTTTCAACATTACGAACCACAGCTGATGGGAGCCTCAACTGAGTACCCAGATCTCTCCAAGAAGCGCCCACGTCATCACATATTAACATCATGTGGCTTGAAGTGACAGTTGCATGTCCATACTGTATACCACTAGAAGTGTCTGTGAAAATAAGTATCCAATTGAAATAAAAAAAATATATG